CCTAATAATCATAATCAAACCATGTCTAAAATGAAAAAAAAACAGTGGACCCAGCACTGATTGTTCCAGCACACCACTAGTCAAAGGGTGAAGGTAGTGATTCTTTGAATCACTGCAGTTCTCAGTATGTAGGAACACTTGCAGTGCCGTTTGGAATGGAGTTCCTAGTCTTTGGCCCAGCAGCAATGATGTAATGGTGATTATAGTCCCAAGTTGGGGTGTTGAGTGACTTGGAGGGGAACTTGCTCCCATTTATCTGATGCTGTTGTCCTTCTAGGTGACAGATTTGACAGGTTTGGAAGGGTTGGTTGAAGGAGCTTTGACAAGTTGCTGCGGTGCGTGTGGTGGTGGTGAAGATACTGAATGTTGAAATGGTGGATGAGTTCCAATCAAGTGGGCTGCATTGTCCAGGATGGTGCTGAGCTTCTTGTGTTGGAGCTTAACCCAACCAGGCCAGTGGAGAATATTCCATCGCACTGCTGCCCTATGCATGACAACCACCTACAAGGCACTAAAGAGACTCTCTGAACCCTTTTTTTTAATCTTCTCCTTATTGTTCCCTATCAGTGCTGCAGTTAACTAGCCGAAATTACTATTACATTTCAATGGGTCTGTCTGTGTCTGAATTAAGCACATCATTGTATAAGATCCAGGCTTTAGTCTCATCCTTGATGTGGAGGTGTCTGTGTTGGACTGGGGTTTACCTGACAAAGGAGCAGCGCTCTGAAAGTTTGTGATTTCAAGTAAACCTGTTGGATGATAACCTGGTGTGCCGTGACTTCTGACTTGGTCTTATCCTGTTTATTCATGATTTCAGTATCCTGATTTTATTCTTTAAACACTGTTTATAACTTAAATTGTTTGTCTAATTAAAACATTCATTGAAAGAGTCTCTTGAAGGAAAGAAGAAAATTGTGCTACTGCTCTTTGTATTGCTCAACATTGATGTTTCTCCTTCTGTGACCATAATATTTGACTTAAATAGCCAAGCTAAAGATCACTTCTTTCCTTTCCTATTCTCTTCTATTTCCTCCACAATCCAAAAAAGTTTGAAAGGTTGCTGACCTTTCCTAGTTACAATGGTACAAAGTTGGAGCAAGAACTGGAGATGCTGGAATCTGAGTTAATACAGTGTGGAGCTGGAGGAACACAGCAGGTCAGGCAGCATTAAAGGAGTAGGAAAATTGACTTTTCGGATTCACACTCTGGGGCCCAGTCCTGATGAAGGGTATAAACCCAAAACGTGACTCTCCTGCTACCTGACCTGTGTTCCTCTAGTTCCACACTGTACAGACAGTATTGTTGCAAAACTTAGTTTCATCTTTTTATAGTTTGTTTTGATTGCATTTTATTAACTCAAACAGCTATATTGTTGCAGCTTCACTGTGTTCTCTGACTACCACATCCCTATTTCAAGTTTGAGTCTCAATTCAGACTTCGATCTTCATGGGAATAAAGTTAAATTTAATGGCTAAACAAATGGGATATGAGAATTAATTTATTTATATGTTCACTGGATGTGGGTGTCACTTATAGAACATAGAACATTACAGCGCAGTACAGGCCCTTCGGCCCTCAAATTTGCGCCGACCTGTGAAACCAATCTGAAGCCCATTTAACCTACACTGTTCCATTCTCATCCATATGTTTATCCAATGACCATTTAAATGCCCTTAAAGTTGGTGAGTCTACTACTGTTGCAGGCAGGGCATTCCACGCCCTTACTACTCTCTGAGTAAAGAACCTACCTCTGACATCTGTCCTATATCTATCACCCCTCAATTTAAAGCTATGTCCCCTCGTGCTAGCCGTCACCATCCGAGGAAAAAGGCTGTCACTGTCCACCCTGTCTAATCCTCTGATCATCTTGTATGTCTCTATTAAGTCACCTCTTAACCTTCTTCTCTCTCAACGAAAACAGCCTCAAGTCCCTCAGCCTTTCCTCATAAGACCTCCCCTCCATACCAGGCAACATCCTGGTAAATCTCCTCTGCACCCTTTCCAATGCTTCCACATCCTTCCTATAATGCGGCAACCAGAACTGTACGCAATACTCCAAGTGCGGCTGCAACGTGACCTCATGGGTCCGAAACTCAATCCCTCTACCAATAAAACCTAACACACCGTACGCCTTCTTAACAACCCTATCAACCTGGGTGGCAACTTTCAGGGATCTATGCACATGGACACCGAGATCTCTCTGCTCGTCCACACTACCAAGAATCTTACCATTAGCCCAGTACTCTGTATTCCTGTTACTCCTTCCAAAGTGAATCACCTCAAACTTTTCCGCATTAAACTCCACTTGCCACCTCTCAGCCCAGCTCTGCAGCTTATCTATGTCCCTCTGTAACCTGCAACATCCTTCCGCACTATCCACAACTCCACCGACTTTAGTGTCATCCGCAAATTTACTAACCCATCCTTCTACGCCCTCATCCAGGTCATTTATAAAAATGACAAACAGCAGTGGCCCCAAAACAGATCCTTGCGGTACACCACTAGTAACTGAACTCCAGGATGAACATTTCCCATCAACCACCACCCTCTGTCTTCTTACAGTTAGCCAATTTCTGATCCAAACCGCTAAATCACCCTCAATCCTATGCCACCGTATTTTCTGCAATAGCCTACCGTGGGGAACCTTATCAAATGCTTTACTGAAATCCATATACACCACATCAACCGCTTTACCCTCATCCACCTGTTTGGTCACCTTCTCAAAGAACTCAGTAAGGTTTGTGAGGCATGACCTACCCTTCACAAAACCGTGTTGACTATCCCTGATCAAATTATTCCTTTCTAGATGATTATAAATCCTATCTCTTATAATCCTTTCCAACACTTTACCCACAACAAAGTAAGGTTCACTGGTCTATAATTACCAGGGTTGTCTCTACTCCCCTTCTTGAACAAGGGGACAACATCTGCTATCCTCCAGTCTTCTGGCACTTGCTGGGGCTTCTAAGTGATTAATTGTCAAGCAAAAATGTTTTGTGATTTAAATGAGATATTGATAGAGTTTGCATTCCAGGAAATGTGGGTCTGAACTCCTGAACATTGTAGATAACTATGCAGTCCTACAACTGGAAATAGTGTGGTGTTACCTTCAACTGGAACAACTCGACTGCCTTCGTGATGCAGAAGAGAGATTAAAACGAGCCCAGACTCGGCTGAATAAATGCTATGGAGAGAACCTGGAGCGACTCTACAACCTGAAGGTTGGTTTTTCATGTTTTCAATATATTTGATTTTGTTTGGTCACATCAATGCTTTTCCTACCTAATAATAAGACATTTTAACTCTTAAATCAACAGTAAATTTGCAATGTCAGTACACAGCCTGAAAGTGGCAGTAATCTCTCCTAAATTGCATTAACTTTATTGCAAATTTTCTGATTTTACTTCTTTTGTCAGATCACTTCAGGTTTAAGTTAAATCATTGCCAGCCTGGTGGTATTTCCAAACAACTGCTAGAGCACAAAGTTGTGGAATTTTCAGTGTGTTTGTTTATTTATGCACCTATATATTTTTTGTTGTTTTTACCATGACTTGTATTCTGATGTGTTGTCTAAGCTAGTTCTTTTTATTTTGTTTGCTCATTTGCATTTCATAGGGTAACACTGCCAATGAGCAGGTGCTATATTTGCGGCTCAGGCTTCTTCAGGGAGTGGTATTGTACCATAAAGGAAAGCTGGATCAGACTAAAAATCATCTGAATGAGGTGCAGATCTTTATCTCCACTTCTGTCTGTAGTTATTAACTTTATTTTAATATTACTTTCAGTTCAACCTAATTCCGCAGTAATGTTTGTTTTTATTTATCAGCAAAATGCAATATCCTTAATTACTACTTCTGTTTTCCACCTGATTTTTCTTGATGTCAATGTTATGTAAACTAACAGACAGGTAAATTATTCCTAGGGATCATAGAAATAAAGTCATAAAAATAATTACAGCACAGAAAGGAATCACTCCAGTCTGTTATCTGTATCAGTTCTCTACAAGAGCAATTCAGTGAGTTCTGCACCATGCCGTCATTATTTTCTCCCCTTTATTGGCCTGCAATTTTTATCTTCAATTGTGTGTCTAATTCCCTCTAAGTTACAATTGCATTTGCCTCCCTTCAATTTGGTGTCCTCTGGTTTCGGACTCTTTCACCAACATACGTGGTTCCCAAAGCTTTCACGACCTTCCTATATTGTGATCTCTCAAAATAGACATATGCTACTCGCGCTCTCTTTGTTAAAGATATGTCACAGCTTCCTCTTGTACTGTGTTTCTGTTTCTGTTTTTGCACCTTCGCAGCGCTGCGTGCTACTTTCCATTATTTATGCACATATATCCAAAAATATCTGTTCTTGTATATCATTTAAAATTGTAACTTATTAAATTTTACATTGCCACTCCCAATTTTTCTTCCTTTAAGCATCAGTTCACCCTTGTCTACAATGAAGCATCCTCCTCATTTTCTCCCCTATTAACTTTGATTCAGGCAGAAACATTATTGGGAAAGCTTTCTGTGGATGATAAAAAGGTGGTGCAACTCATGAGTCTCGGATTCACAGCCCAGGAGGCACGGCTAGGTTTGCGAGCTTGCAATGATGATATTGACTTTGCGGCATCGCACATCTACCACAGGAGAGAGGTAATTGTATTAAGGAATACCTAGTAATGTAACCTGTTGTTACCACACCTTTTGGATCTGTCTTGCGTGACCTTACCTGGTGCAGTGGTGCTGATCACTTGTGTAAATGATTCTGGCATCTTGAGCTCTATTTGGTCTGATTAGTTATGACTCTGATAAAGGACTGGAAAATTGGGGAAACCAATCTCGTGTTTAAATCAAATAGGGAAGCTGATTTGGACCATCTGGCAGCTAATGAGCATCCATCAGGGCTCCCATCTTTTAGATGGACAAAAGCCTGCTTCCAGAATAGCCAGCAGCTCTTCTGTGTGACCGGGAACTGCAGCTAGTGGAGATGCAGCCATTGCAGCATAGTGAGTCAGTCATCTGACAAAGTCAAGCAGGCCCTTGCTAAGGGAACCATTGCTACAATGCTCCCAGACTGCCTAATATCTAATTTTGTAATGATGTTACACCCCTAGAATATAAATTTTGCTTTGAACTGAATTCTGTATAAATGTCTTTCACACACGCCCTCTGTTAACTTCTTTTGATCTTTTTTAAGCCAGCTGTCCTATTTATTCAATTTGGAAAAAAATGCTTGAGCTTGCATGCTTCCAAAAACTAAGAGTATTATAGAATAAATGTGAAATCTGGGTCAGACTAAAGCAGGTGGAATAAATGCACCTTTTTGAGGTTAGACTCTAGATGAGAATCATTTTTTAAATTGATTGATTGAATGAAATGTATCTTTCTGGAAAATAAGTTACAAACTCCTTCAAATCATTCCTCATAAGTAGAGCATTTTAAGTTAAGGTAATACTGCTAATAAATCTCTGAAAATAAAGGTTACGTGGATTTTTTTCATAATACACCAAACTGCCTAGAATCTTTATTTCCCTCAGCAGACTGATTTGATGTGACTTTTTTATAACTTTCTAATTTAGCCTACTTTTCTAATCAACCAGTTCAGAGATGGGGGTAGGGGTGCTTGAACCTGGACCCCTCAGTTAAGGCCAAGGGATTTATCGTGATTTTCTCCTAACCACTAATCCTTTCAACCTGTTCCCTATCTAACATGTCCATAAAACTGACTCTACCACTGATGTTTGTTCCTTTTTACTTGTGGTAGAAAAACTATGTAGAGTTGCGAAATGCTGTCTAATTTGGTATATTTTTCTTTTCCTTTCCTTTCCTTGACCTCTTGATTCCAACTACTGTCAGTAATACAAACATTTGATTAGATTTGACTTTTGCTATACTGTGTTTTGTAGGAGAAAGCTGAAATCAGGAGAAAGGAGAAGGCAGAAAGAAAAAGGAAGAAACAAGAAGCTGTGAACTCTTTGGTGGCTATGGGCTATTCGGAAAAGGCTGCTGCCAAGGCATTTAGATCAGCCAATAATAACTTGGAACGTGCTATAGAGGTCAGTAATTTTCGTTTCAGAATTCTGTGGTAGTGTCTTCAAAGATTGTTGGGGTTTTAGTTCATACAAAAAAGGAAGCCTCTTTTCAATTTTCACTACTAACTGGTGCAGGTTTTGGTTACAGCCAGTAAAGTAAAGCCTTTGAAAAATTGCACTATTCATCTTCTCTGTTAATGGCACAGATGATATATGAATTATTTTTTTAAAAAGTGAGTAGACGGATAAAACCACCGAAGAAAATGTCGTTCAAATGGGCTGTAAGCTATAATGTTGTTGTGACAGAGTTTGTTTGCACTCAAACAATGGACTGAGATTCCATGAGTTCTCATTTCTGTTTCCCTTTTGAAATCAATTCGGGAAAACATTTCCATTTTTATATAATGCCTTTCAAATCTTCAACCCAAAGGAAGAACCTTGCATTCAGTGAAGTTATTGTGGATATAAGAAATATGAATGCTAGTTTGTGCATATGTCCACTTGAGAGCAGTGAAACCTTCAATTTAATGTCATAGAGTCAAACAGCATAGAAACTGGCCCTTCAGCCCACCCATGTCTATGCTGTCTAATACACCAAACTACACAAATCCCATTTGCTTGTACTTGGTCCACAGCCTACCATGCCCTGTCATTTTAAGTGCTCATCAGATGCTTCTAAAAGGTTGCTAAAGTACTTGCTTCCACCACCCTGTCAGGCAGCATGTTCATATATCTTACCATCTTCTGGTTAAGAAGACTTTTTTTCCTGAGATCTCGATGTTGTCCTTGTCCTCACCACCTGGTCCTTGACACGCCTGCCATGGGAAAGAAATTCGTGCAATCCACCCTGTCTATGCCTCCCATAACTTTTGTATGTCAATCAGATTCCATTGCACTCACGCACGCAGACACACACACACCCTCCCCTGCTCCAAGGAAAACAAACACTGCCTATCCAGCCTCTCATAACTGAGAATCATCCCAAGCAACATCCTGGTGGTTCTCCTGTGCACCCTCTCCAGAGCAATCATGTCCCTCTAAATACTGTGGCAACCAGAACTGTACAAAGTATTCCATCTCTGGCCTAACCAATGTTTTTATAAAGTTGTAATAAGACTACCTTGCTCCTATATTCTACACCCCGGCTAATGAAGGTAAGGATCCCATATACCACCTTCACCAGCCTGTCTACCTGTGCTGGCACCTTCTGTGGATCCCTTTGTTCCTCAGTACTCGCTAGGGACTTACCATTCATTAATGTACATCCTTTTCTTATTAGACCTCCCAAAATGCTTCACCTCCTACTCGTTGGGATTAAATTCCATCTTTCATTGCTCTGCCCAGTTTACCAGCTGATCAATATCAGAATTTAGCCCGAATCCATTCTGCTTACCATCAACACCACCAATTTTCATATCATCTGCAAACTTACTAATTTTACCTTCTGCATTAACATCCATGTCATTATTATAATTAACAAACAGCAAGGGTCCCAGCACCAAACCTTGTGATACACTGCTGGTCGCAGGCTTCTAATCATAAAACAACCCTCCACCATCACTGTTTACCTCCTATTTTTAAGCCAGTTATTTTTGCCAGCTTGCCTTAGACTCTCTGTGTTCTTGCATTTTCGACCAGCCTTTCGTGAGGGTCTATGTCAAAGACTTTCCTGAAGTCCATATAAGCCACATCAACTGCACTATCCTCAATATATTTAGTTACTTTTGCAAAAGAAAATGCTAAATTAGTCAGGCAGGATCTCCCTCTAATAAACTATAGAATCTCTGCAGTACAGAAAGAAACCATTTGGCCCAGTGAGTCTGCACCAACTCTCCAAACAGAATCCAACCCAGTCTGAGTCCCCAAACCTACCCTCAAACCTGCAGAGATAGTAGGAACTGCAGATGCTGGAGAATCTGAGATAACAAG